TTTTTTTTTTTCTTTTTTTTTTTGTTGTTGTTGTTGAATAAAGCAGCTCGGTGCTATGGTTTGGAGAGTCACCTGCTGGAAAGCGGGTCCAGCTTCCCTTATATCACACAACCCCCCTTTTTTTAACTACAACAAAGTCATTGCTGAGAACCGGGTCAAGCGTCCCATACTTTCTTTTTTTTTTTTTTTTTAAACGGGCCCAGTGCCCAAGGCTGATATTACCAATAAGAAGATTGAGGCCGGGGTCCTCACAGTCTGCCCGGAGTAACCGAACCGAACTTGCTGAGAACCGGGCTCAGCGTCCCTCATATGGTGATGAGAATGATCATGATGATGATAATGATACTACTGATGATGATGCTAATGATAATGAAAATTAGTGTAAAAAGGAGACTATGCTATATCAGCAATTCTGACCTCCTAATCTTAGAACAACTCCTAGCCCTCCCTATACGAGGACATTGTGACTCAGAGACAGTACCAACCTAACCAACTTCTGCCATGGCTGTTCTCTTCTCGCTCCCTTGCAGGGCTCCCCGGTTCACCACTTCCACAAAAAAAATGTTCTGTCGATCGAAACTGGGCCCACAGTTCCATACTGCAGAAACTATTCCATTACTGGGGGAAAGCAGGGGGGGGGGAGAGGGCGGATGGACTGGGGGGCACCAGCACCCTGACTTGTGAGTCGTGACCAGAGAGCTTCGGTCTTTCTGATCTGTGGCAGGACATAAAGAATGATCCTACTACCTCCTTTACCTGGAACGAACATACTTAATCTGATTATAGCTGTATGTATTGGGTCAACTTTCAGTCCACATAGAGTGATAATGACCATGTGTTCTATTCAGATAAAGATGTCGGGATCTTGTACAAGACGTTCCTACCGCTCTCTCGCGCTCCAAAGCCTCTGCCATCAGTCAAATGCCTCTGCAGCTTTTTTAATTCCATTTATTTCATCTAATTACCCTGAAGACTCAAGATTCCTCACCATAAATATATATATATATCGTCAAATAGAACTGCCCGGTAAACCGTAGGCAGAGAGGGAGAAGAGGACAACAAACGAGGGGCTGTGACAAAAATCCTCACCATTATGGGAGGAGGCCTCTGGGAGGCCTCTGCAGGCTTGAACTCACGACCACAGCGAGCGAGGCGACAGGCACGGCAGGCACATACAGAGCGTCCCTCCTTCCGGAAAAAAAACACAAGACTACTTTTTGTTTTTCCTTCTTTTTTTATTCCTTTTTTTTTTTCACAAGACGCCATCTTGGTCGTCCAGCCAGAGGAAATCTGGATGGCCGATGTTAAATGTTAAGACTTTTTCCCTCTGGAAAGTTCATTCAAGATAACAGCCGTCGATGTTGAAACATATTCGACACAATCGAGAGCAGTCGGATGTTTGCTATTGCAGCATGTCTTTCCTGATATCCGGCAGAGACTGTGACCAACTTCTCAGCTAGGGGTTCATGCTAAGTCAGCACCATGGTCAGTCCACTAGACTGGGCCCACTTTTGAACTGGGTTCATGCTCAGAAACTACGAATGTGGATCATTGTTTGGCCCAGATTCATTCTCAGAAATTGCAAAGATGGCCAACCGTACGCCGCGTTCATGCTCAGTACTAACTATGATCCTTGATGTTGCTTTACAAAGATGCTTCAATTAGGCTTTAGGGTTGTACGAGCAGCCCTCCCTAGTAGAGCCTGTGGAGGTCTCTCCATCTATTGCTGGGGAGCTGCACCTGTTGGAAGCCGCAGACAACCCCATGTGTTCTACGCCTGGACAAAGCAACAGTCCGGGCCTAGCCGACATGTCAGCTATAGGCCACGGGCCCCTTTCGGAGGCCACCCACCGCCGATTCATTTTATCTATGGCGTTCGGCCTCCTAAATTTCCGGAAAGGCTCAAAACAGGTTCTCCATTTGCCTCGGGCCGTGTACTGGGGTTTAAAAGGGTACTGGTCTTTTAAGCCGAAAGGGTACCCTTCCCAGCTATCCCAGGGAATGGCCCCATTAAACCACCAGTACTTGGCCCAGCTATTGAAGCCGAGCCTGAATATGCCCTGCGCGCCGATTTTTGCTGAGATTGCAGGTGGTGGGAAAAAAACATGGGACATTTGTTGCTTCAAGCAGGGACCACCCCTTATGCTGGACCTGCTGCCAGAAGATGGAATGTAAACAGGCCGTCGTTTTCTGTTTCTACTCAGGCAATGAATGCTCCCCGTCTCTCACGGGGAGCGAGTGCACAAACAGCCAGCGAGCTTCTTCCCCCCCCCCCAAAAAAAAACAACAAAAAAAAGGGGGAAATGGGTAACCAGCATCTGAACGTGATTGCCCTCAGATTCATATGACGCGGTGCAGAAGTAAAGCCAGATACATTATTCGAAGTTGTAACGTTGCACTCTCTCAGGGACCTCAGGCAATGAATGCTCCCTGTCTCTCACGGGGAGCGAGTGCACAAACAGCCAACGACATTCTTCCCAAACAAAAAAAAAAAGAAAAAAAAAAGGGGGAAATGGGAAACCAGTCTCTCTGAGCGTGATTGCCCTCAGATTCATTCTCTGCGGTGCAGAAGTGAAGCAAAATACATTCTTCCCAAAAACAAAAAAAAAAGAGAAAAACAAAAAGAAAAAAAAGCAACGATCTGTTTTCATTTTTCCTCGTCCGTTTTCTTTTTTCTTTTTCCCCTCCTTGCTACTAGTGTCCGCGCTTTTCCACATCGCACACCCCGAGGACATCTTGCAGTCCTTGTGGGAGGAGGTTTCCGTGGGGCCACCAGCTTCCTCCCCCATTGCCATGCCAAACCTCCCCCGAACCCCACAAAGTGCGGCGCGTTAACGGGTACGCCCCGCGGGCGATGTATGCTCCAAGTTCTGGTGGTTTAACACAGTGCCAGGGAAAAGCCCAGCCTACCCTGGGACTCTGCTGAACCACCAGTAGGCAGAAAAAAGCTGGTAGAGCTTGAGAGGCCCTTGTCTGCAACAGGGGAGGGAAAAAATCATGCATCAGAAAAAAGTGCCATCGGAAAAAAGAGAGGCCCGGACGTAGCTGTTTTTTTTTCCCGCGGTTCAACCACACGAAAAGTGGTGTCGTGCTGGGAGAAGAAGCGAGACACCTCCGCTTCGGGGCTGATACAGTAGAGACGGCTGAGCGATGTATATGTGATACCGCGATACACCTGGCCATTATCGCTGTATGTCGTCTCAAAGTTGCCTCAAATGCAGCTGTAACTACTTTGTGTGTTGTATTCAGGTGGATGAACGACAACGACCATGAAACCAAAAAAAAAGGGAGTGAATGGTTCCAGTTTTAACTGAAAGATTCACTTCAAATATCGGAATGCCTGGTGCTGCGGGAGTTGGGGGGCCAGACAGAGAGCCAACGAGTGTGTGTGTGTGTGTGTGTGTGTGTGTGTGTGTGTGTGTGAGAGAGAGAGAGAGAGAGAGAGAGAGAGAGAGGTGCACGTGCGTGTCCACCTGTGCTTGTGCATGTGCATGGACACACACACCTGAAATGTCAAAACAAGATCATGGGCAACTGGGAAATTTCATGGGTGGCCCGTTTTTCATTTCGGGCCTCCAAAACTGGTGGTTTAAAGGACAGGAATTTGCTTCCTACCCAGTCCCAGCACCCAACTTGCATCTATACCCCAAACCCTGTCCAACTTAGTTGTGTATCTGAACCAGTGAAGTTGAGTGAACCCCATTTAAAAGACCAGAATTCGCTTCAATTTAAAAGACCAGAATTCGCTTCAATTTAAAAGACCAGAATTCGCTTCATACCCAGTCCCAGCACCCAACTTGCATCTATACCCTAAACCCTGTCCAACTTAATTGTGTATCTGGACCCCATGTGAAAGATGGGAATTTGCTTTATACCCAGTCCTGGCGCCCAACTTGCATATATACCCCAAACCCTGTCCAACTTAAGGTAATACCCACCCTATGTTTCCCATGCAGTAAACTATACATGTTCCGGGCCACACAGGGCCTTGACCCAGGACGGCGAAATTGCGCTCGTGCCCCCAAACCAGGGAGGCAAATTGGTAATGCGCATAATTTGCCCGGGTATGTCCATAATTTTATCATAATTCTGGTAGTTGGGCATAAACCGCAACTTGAAGTACCAACCTTGGGCCCACCTCGGTCCCCGAATGGACATCATTTCCGCAAGATGCTCGCTGCCACTGAAGTTTAAACATTAATCTTCAAAGGGAAAAATCCTATCTTTGAAACCACGAGTACCTCGCCCACCTATTGTCGCCAAGCCTGAACATGCCCTGCGCGCCAAAAGAAAACCAACCTGCACAGGCCTTTTGTTTTGGCTGGTGCCACCACCCATGCAACTTCCCCTTCTGCTTATGCTTAGATTAATAAGTTTTTAATAAAACAGATTAGCAGTGGTTAAAGGATTATTGATTAGCAGTCAGCAGTAGACTTGTCATCAAAACCCTCAGTAAACCCAACCAACCATCCCACATTATGCACTAATGGTCGCATATGCAAAACACAGCAAAATCATGAAAGCTTCCAGAACTAAAAAGACTATCATCGTGTACTCTTTCTTATAATTTTGAATTCTAGACCAACCTACTAACACTCAAATTCACCAGCTTGAAGTCGTAATTGCTGACTCAATTTTGTATTTGAATTGGAATTTAAAAATAATAATAATAATAATAATAATAATAATAATAATAAAAATTGCTGACTTAATTTTGAGATCCAGTTGATCGTGAGTGTCGCTCCCGGAGTCATATTACTTTTTGAAGCCTGAGGATTACCACGGAGGAGTTCATAGCAGTATATTTACAGATTCGCTTCTTGCTTCAAAAAGTAGCCTTGAAATCTTCTTGAACTTTCAGCTAAAGTTTTTTGACTAAATAAAAAACAAAACCCACAACACTAAAAGCTACACCCCCGCATCTGGGGGGAGGCGTGTGGATATGAGCGCATGCATAAATAAAATAAGCTGCTCCTTTTGCTTTGTTTTGTTGCGGCGACTGTGTTGACACTTTTGGGCACTGTGCTCAGCAGACGTTTTGCGTTTGATCTGATGCCAAATAAAACAACCGCATATATCTGGAAAAAGGTTGTAGACTTGAGTATTCCTTTCATAGTGCTGCTTTACATCAATATGGTTCCAATAATTCATTGGGCATGAACTCTTCTCTAGGTAAAATACTTTTTCTATTATTTTTTCCCTACTTTTTACGTTATTCCATCTCGCAACCAATTTCCATAGGCTATCAATTCAACCAAGGCCTGGCTGTTTAGCTCGAACCGCATGAAAAAGGAAGTGCTTCCCACCTGTCCAAGTTTGCCCTTCCAACTTCAGTGTGCGATCTAATTTCATGTTTCCTCTCGTCAAAGCGTTCACCCCCCCCCCCCTCTCTTTCCTTCACAGCGTCCCCAAGCCTTCACAAGTTTGAGGTAGACTTGCATAAACGCTTATCGGTTCCGACGAGTCAACCCTAAACCCTAAAACACAAGCAACACTAAACCCTAAACCCTAAACCACAAGCAAGCGGTTAAGATTTGAAAGGTGTGGGACGTCTGTGATGATAACCGTGAAAAAACATTAAAAGGTGTGGGACTTGAAAATTTAGGGCGCTGTCAACTGCTTCTCAGAACAAGTTCACCTCAATAAAGCATGAATTAAAGACAAATGTGTTTCATAGAGTTAACCACAGTTGACACTTCAAGTTTAAAACCACCACTACTTACCGAAGGCATGGCCGTTAACAAGCCATGATTTAGGAAACGTACAGGGCAGTACAGGAACGTCCAAATTCATTCGACTAGAAACGTTCTATTCTATTTCTTTCCCGCAGATGATAGTTGGGGCAAGTACTGGTGGTTTAAAAAAAGGAACAAAACTGAAATTAATTGCAAAGAACGAATTTAGAGTATTAATTTATTAGTATGATACCACCTTTCCCCCAAACACAGTACCATCCTCATTGTGAATGCATACAAGCAAACTTTCTGGACAGATAGGCTCATCGTGAGGAAGCATTGTGCTTGGGAGAAGACCCTACTTGCACTACTTCCCACGACATCATCCCTTTGCACCCTTAAACCATACACTGCACCAAAAAAAAAAAAAAAAAAAAAAAAAAAAAAAAAAAGTTCAGAACGACCAGTAGGACACTTTTTTTTTACTTTTTTTCTATAAAAAAAAAAATTCGCTGGCACCACCAGCCATTTTTTTGGTCCCCTTTACAGCTGTTCCTATGAAGAAACCAGATTATCGCAATGTTGGTACTTTTTTTTGTTTTTTTCCCCAACTTCAGACTTCAGTTCTCAACTGTGCCTGGGCGAAGGCACTGACAGTTTAACCATTCAAAAAAAAAAAAAAAAACTTCCATACCCAATTATCCATGTGCGACACAGTGTGTTTGTGTGTGTGCGACACTGATCTGTTTTGGAAGCTGTGTGTTTGTGCGTCACTCCAAATCTGAATCACCAATCGCATCCAACTTCAAGATTGCATTCCACACACGATGTAGCGTCTGCTGGACACTGAAGCCCGATCAACATCTTGAAAATTTTGAACTTTGAAACCTTATGCCAGAAAATTGCACAGGGTTTCTGCTTCACTGTGTCACTAATGCATAAGTTCTGTTTAATTGCTAGCAACTGCTGGTCATGAACCACTGCCAGAAATTTGCGCACAGGTATTAAAAAATGGAAAAAAAAAGTCAAGCATGCACGATTTCAGAATGAGAGGCCAGATCTGGATGTTGTTGCACTGGTTGTAGTGAGGTGGAGAGTTGACATGAACAGAAAAATCCATGGGAAAGGGAGAACAGTCAATAGCATATAAGAGACTCAAGGCAAACCTGCTAACCCACATTTGGCTATCAAAAACCCACACTAGGTTTCATGTTCTTACGCCATATCCCTCCTGCCCTATGCTCTCTTCATCTTCTTTGTTTGTTTGTTTGTTTGTCTGTCTGTCTGTCTGTTTGTTTGTTTGTTTGTTTGTTTGTCTGTCTGTCTGTTTGTTTGTTTGTTTGTTTGTTTGTTTGTCTGTCTGTTTGTTTGTTTGTTTGTTTGTTTGTTTGTTTGTTTGTTTGAATAATCTTGACCATCCCTCGACTTATGCGTGTCATCTTTGCACAAGGGTCACGCTAATCTTCTTGATATCTTCCCAAAATTTTTTATTTTATTTAATGTGTGGACCATTTCTCGATTTATCATTTATGCATGTTGTCCTTGCGTAGGGGCCATGCTAAAATATTCTTTCTCCATACTGTTCCAATTTCAACGGATGTCCCGAATGCCTATCACTCCAATGTCAATGAATGCCCACAAGGACTTAATTTTTTAAGACTTCTTCTTCTTCTTCTTCTTCTTCTTCTTCTTCTTCTTCTTCTTCTTCTTGAACTCCTTCCTCTTCTTCTTCCTTTCTTAAGGTAGAAGTATAAAATGGTATTTTGTTTTTCCCTCTCTATCCCATGATTCTCATCCCAAGACCGAAACGAAAGACTGTTTTATACTGCTTCCAGTGTGCATTGTTTCTTCCTTTTTTATCTTCAGCTCCTTGTTACGTACTATTGCTAAGTTTATGCGAAGTTATAAGTTCAATCCCAAAAGATGTAAGGCTTGAGGCGTCGTCGCCACACAGCACACGAAACGAAAAACGGAGTGAGTGCATCTTCCCGCAGAAAATGGACATGTTCATTGGTTTGCTATAAATAGTACCGAGTACATCGTGTCACCTTTTGGGGGCGCAGATGCACTCGTCTTGCCCCTTCTCTTACTTCTCTAACTTAACTTCGTGCCTGCGTTTCAATGAATCTGGGAAGTCTCCGGCAGGGGTCCAGAGGCTGGGAAAGGCGCTTCTTCGTACTGCAAGGTCCATTGCTCTGCTGCTACAGTTCTGACAACCTGCGACATTTCAAGGTCAGTGAGAGTCATGCCCAACTCCACTACCCATTCTCTTTTTCTTTTTTCTTTCTTCCTTTTACACTTGTTTTTCCCTTCTTTTTTTTTTTTGACGGTGGTCCATTCTACGAGAACAAGCAGAGCCTCTTTTTTTTTTTCTTTTTTTTTTTTTGGATGTGTGGTCAAAGAAGTGCATATTGACTTTCAAGTTAACGTACAGAAGTCAGCAAAAGGCAAGTGTCTCCTGTTAACTCCTGTAGGCTGTTTGGCCAGGAGGACATGCCTGCGGTCCATTCTACAGTAAGAAGCAGAGTCTTTTTTTTTTCTCTTTTTTTCTTTTTTTGGATGTGTGGTCAAAGAATTGCATATTGCCTAGCAAGTCAAAGCACAGCAGTCAGTCTGTCTGCTCGACTCCATACGTCCATTTCAGTCTGTCTAGTTCTTCTTTGAGTCTGTTTTGAGTTGTTTTTTCAGTCTGTTTTGAACCACCAGTAGCTGCGGCCCCGGAAGGCGGGGACAATTTCACTTTCTGCAAGGCTGCGGCCCCGGAAGTTACACATCTCGTTCGAGAGACCCTCTGGATCCTGTTTTCACTAAGTCTAATTTTAGTGCGAGTCAGCTTTTGTTCTGTCCCAGTCCGTGTCTTTTGAGCCTGTGGATCTGTATGACTCGGTCTTATTCGATTGTGAGTCAGCTTCGGGTCTGCAGATTATCTCATGTAACTGTTTGAGTCTCTTTGAGCTTGTTCTGCATCTGAGTGAGACTGTTTGGGTCTTTTTTGAGACCGTTTGGGTCTCCTTTGAGTCTGTTCTGTCTGCAGGTCAGGTCCATTTGAGTTTGTCTGGTTCTCTTTTCAATTTGAGATCGTCTGATTCTCTTTTCAGCTGTTCCGAGCGTGTTCGCAGTCTGTTTCCAGTCAGTTCTGACTTTGCTTGAATCTCTCGTTCGAGCCCGACCCGGAAAGTGATCTTTTCGAAAAAATGAACGAAAAATAAAATCAGCGCCGATTCCGACAGAGCTCTATCTGAAAAATCTAACTGCAATATAGATGTCGCACAGGGGATGTAGTTGTACTATTATAATTAATAATTTTAGTACTTGCGACTTCCATTCACAATTTTTTCACAAGCACTTGCCTTGGATGGATCTTTTTCCTTTTAGGGTTTAGGGTTTAGGGTTTTTTTCTAGCCACAAGCTAATCTGCGACTTTTCTGGCTGTTCGTTTTCTGTGTGTTATCTTTTTCCTTTCTTTTTTTTTTCTGATCTGTTTGAAGGGATCAGTGAAAATGGACCCGGAGTCCACGGTTCGCATTGTAACGCGCGCAGATGGCGAGGACATATACCTTCAGGTTCTCTCTCTCTCTCTCTCTCTCTCTCTCTCTCTCTCTCTCTCTCTCTCTCTCTCTCTCATGCCGGCTGACAATGTTCTTCCTTTGCAACAGTGTCTGTAGAGATTGGAAGAACATCATTGATACTCGGAATTTTTATTTTTATTTTTCTAACACACGCCCCCTGCAGTGCTAGTGGCGCTGATGAAGCAGACACCACTAGCACCCGGGGAGGGGCTCCATCTATTGGTGGGGAGCATCACCTGCCGGAAAACGGGTCCAGCATCGTCCCATATACAGAGTGAATGCCAGAAACTGAGAAGGAAGACAGCCAGCATTGATTTCTCTGCTCTGCAGAGGATTAACTGTTAGTTATTATTAATTACCTGTAGTAGTTATGACACAATCACTTTGCTTCCACAAGAACTAAACGTGTGCAATTCGGTTATGGCTTGTTGTTAGCGATCGGACCAACTGCACGTGCTGGGGGCTCAGTCCGAACCATACTTGCAACTTGCACATATGTCCGCTGCAAACGTGCCAGCGTGCCAACCTTGTCTCACCCAAAAAGAACGCACACTCAGTATCGCTGTACCTAGACTGAATGTGGCCCAAAGGCAGGCATAATTACTGAACGATCTCTTCGGGTGAAGACCGTTGGGGCGGGGGKGGGGGGGCCTGTTTGGCCAATCTGGATGGGCCAAAAGGTGCATGGGAATTTCGATTTCGATATTTTTCAATTGCACTCTGTGAATAAGCTTGTCAAGAAGAAATGGGGACCAAATGAGTTTACCCGCATGTTCACCGGACTAGAAAGAAAGCCCGGTCATTGTGTCTGTATTTGGGGCAACTTTCAGTCCAGATACAGGTGTATTCACCATGCATTCTATTCGGGGGTGCAGATGGTAGGTCCACCTGCCTCGGCTGCCAGAAATCGCCTTTTTTTTTCTTGAAAACTGGGAAAATCAAGCTGGTTGGGAGAGGCGGGGGAGGGCGGGGAGGGGGCAGGGGATGTGAGGAAAAAGGAGCCAAATGGGGGGGTTAGGGTCTTTAGACTCCCTCCACAGGTGTTAAAAGGGGTTGTATGTGGCTTCTTTCTCTATTTTTATTTTTCATCTTGAAAATGAAGAGACATTCAGAAAATAATAAAATATACCGTCTTTACTAAAAAAGAAAACAAGACCCGCAGACAAACTTTGTCTTTTTTTTTTCATTTCATTTTTTTTTC